ACTACTACTACTACTACTACTACTACTACTACTACTACTACTACTACTACTACTACTACTACTACTACTACTACTACTACTACTACTACTACTACTACTATACTACTACTACTACTACTACTACTACTACTACTACTACTACTACTACTACTACTACTACTACTACTACTACTGCTACTACTACTACTACTACTAATCGTCGTCGTCGTCCTCACTCACTCACTGCCTCACTTGCTCACCCATCCACCCACTCATTCCCTCCCTCCCTCCCTCCATTCCTCCCTCCTCTTTCCTCTCCCCTCCTCCCCCTCCTCCCTTCTTCCCCCACTCCCTCCTCCTCCTGCTCCTGCCCCTGCGAAACGCCACCGAACGCGCAGTGGGCGGCCTGCCGGGCAGACCGCCTGCGGCCGAGAGCCCAACTGCTCGGCGCTGCCCGGCGCTCCTAGCGGATGCCCCCGAGCCCCGCACGTCTCGATCAGCGGCTGAAGCTCGACGTTGATCTGGTCTACCTTGACCAGCCTCGAGCTCATCCCTATTCCCAATAGAGGGAGCCCCAATGCCGATGACAATCTCAGGGATGTGCCCTCGGAGACCGCGGGGAATCCTTGACGCCGGGGCACCGAGGCCGGGCGATGCCAGGACCGGGGACAGGGATGCGCTTCGGGCCGGCAGCACCTGGACCGTGGCCAGCTGCAGCCCGAGCAGCCCCCTGGGCATCCAGCAGCTGAGGACCGTGAAGTCGAGGTCCCCGACGCACGTGATCGTCACAGAGGTGTCTGGGTTCACCTGTCGGGTGTTGCAGTGCCACTGGCCCAAGGTGCCCCCAGCTTTTCGCTCCATCTTTGATCCCCTGGGGCCCTCTGGGCCTCGTGAAGGGTGCCCTGGAGGCCGTCTGGGACACCCCGAGAATCCTGGGGGTACCTTGGGCCAGGGGTACTTCTAGCAACACCCGAACCTGCGGCGGCGGCGGCGAGGAGGCTGGCCCAGGCTCTCGGGAAGCACCGCCTCCCCCCCCCCCACACACCTGGGAGAGGGCAGCGACACACGTCGGTCGGAAGGAGCAGGCAGAACCGTCAAGCAGGAAGGCGCGCTGGAAGCAGGTTGGGTCTCCCCCAGCCCCCTGAGGAGGAAGGAAAAGGAAAAAGCAATCGATGATTGAAGTAGGGAGGCGGCTAAAGGTAGATTGGGACTTGGGGGTCAAAAAAAATAGCCTGGCGAAGGACCCAACCATATTGTTGAGTACAGCAATTGTGAATATCTTCTTCGATGGCGCTCCCTGTGGGGCCGCGAAACGCTGTACTGGGTGGGTGAAACGCAGGGAGCAAGGGCTGTGCTGGGTGGTAGCGGACGCATGCGGGCGGTGCCACTGGGACCTTCGGTGGAACCCCTTATGGGGCCACGAAACCCTGTACTGGGTGTGTGAAACGCAGGGAGCAAGGGCTGTGCTGGGTGGTGACGGACGCATGCGAGCGGTGCCACTGGGACCTTCGGTGGAGCCCCCTATGGGGCCACGAAACGCTGTACTGGGTGGGTGAAACGAAGGGAGCAGTGGCTGTACTGGGTGATGGCGGACGCATGCGGGCGGTGCCACTGGGGGCTTCGGTGGAGCTCCCTCTATGGGGCCACGAAACGCTGTATTGGGTTGGTGAAACGCAGGGAGCAAGGGCTGTGCTGGGTGGTGGCGGACGCATGCGGGCGGTGCCACTGGGGGCTTCGGTGGAGCCCCCTTTATGGGGCCACGAAACGCTGTGTTGGGTGGGTGAAACGCAGGGAGCAAGGGCTGTGCTGGGTGGTGGCGGACGCATGCGGGCGGTGCCACTGGGGGCTTCGGTGGACCTCCCTTTATGGGGCCACGAAACGCTGTATTGGGTGGGTGAAACGCAGGGAGCAAGGGCTGTGCTGGGTGGTGGCGGACGCATGCGGGCGGTGCCATTGGGACCTTCGGTGGAGCCCCCTTTATGGGGCCACGAAACCCTGTACTGGGTGGGTGAAACGCAAGGAGCAATGGCTGTGCCGGGTGGTGGCGGACGCATGCGGGCAGTCCCAGTGGGGGCTTCGGTGGAACTCCCTTTATGGGGCCACGAAACGCTGTACCGGATGGGTGAAACGCAGGGAGCAAGGGCCCCCCTATGGGGCCGAAACGCTGTACTGGGTGGGTGAAACGAAGGGAGGGAGCAAGGGCTGTGCTGGGTCGTAGCGGACGCATGCGGGCGGTGCCACTGGGACCTTCGGTGGAGCCCCCATATGGGGCCACGAAACGCTGTATTGTGGGCGAAACGCAGGGAGCAAGGGCCGTGTTGGGTGGTGGCGGACGCATGCGGGCGGTGCCACTGGGGGCTTCGGTAGAGCTCCCTTATGGGGCCACGAAACGCTGTATTGGGTGGGTGAAACGCAGGGAGCAAGGGCTGTGCTGGGCGGTGGCGAACGCATGCGGGCAGTGCCACTGGGACCTTCGGTGGAGCCCTCTTATGGGGCCACGAAACGCTATACTGGGTGGGTGAAACCCAGGGAACAATGGCTGTGCTGGGTGGTGGCGGACGCATGCGGGCGGTCCCACTGGGGGCTTCGGTGGAGCTCCCTATGCATGGAAGAAGGAGGAGGGAGGGGGGGGGGAGGAGGAGGAGGAGGAGAGGAGAAGAGGAAAGGAACGCGGGGACCGTCTCTTCAAAACGAGAGGACCCAACACCACAAGATGGTTGGGAACTACTTTCAACGACCGACGTCTGGGGGGGGACTGGCACAGGAATCGGCGATACATCGCCGATAGATCGGCGATAGGCCCCCGATGGTGAATCCGCACGTTCCGGGGCAGGTTGGGGCTATCGGGCGGACCTGTCCCCCTACACGGAGATTTTGGATGAAAAATCAAGAATGCCCAAAAAATGTCCAAAGGATGACCAAAAATATGCAAAAATAGTCCCCTGACGATTTGTTCACTATTTTCGAATATTCCCCCTGTAGAGGGACAGGCCCGACTTCAGGCTATCGGGCCCCTATCGGCGATCCATGGGCGAGTGGGAGTCGATGCCTCCGCGCCTGTGCCCACCCCCCCCTATCGTTGCCCCCGAGCCCCCTGGCCTCCAGAGGAGCCCCCTCCGGAGGCCTCCGGGAGGGCCGGCTGTTCACTCTGGAGACCCTCCTGGCGACACTCGCTCCACTCGTGCGTCGAAGCTGCGTCGAACGTCCGTCGATTTGAGCCGACCTCTGAGCCGACCTTTGAGTCGAACCTGAGTCGAAACTAAATCGAACCTGAGTCGAACCCGAGTCGAGCTTGAGTCGAACCTGAGTCGAACTTGGGTCGAACTGGAGTCGAACAGGTCCGTCAGGTGGGCCTCGGGCGGGTCCCCGGAAAAGAGCATCTAAGGAGGGGGGGGGGCGGGGCAGAGGGACCCCTCCTCGGGAGCCCCCCAAAAAGGCCCCTCGGGAGAGGCCGCCCCGCCCCCCCCATCGCCCCGCCACCTCGCATAATCATGCGCGCCGCCGCACGTCCCGCGGCGGTCTCGAGGCGGCCCCGGGGTGCCCGGGACCCCGTCCCCAATCGACGCTGGTCCTCGGACACCCTCCCCATGGCCCCTGGTCCACTCTTTCGGTGGCAGCCGAATCGACGCAAGCCGACGCCAAATCGGCGCTATCTCATCGACTCCCGGACGCCAGTCGACGCTCATCGAAACTATAAAGGAGGAATTACGAAGGTATACAAGGCTCCCACGATTTGCTTCCCAACCCTCCCCTGGTCCATCCTGGCCCGAATTTGAAGAAACCTTGCCTGCTGCCCAAAGATCTGGCGTCGCAAGAAAGCCACAGCATCGCGAAGCTTCCCAGCCGGAGCTCCCGACCACATCTTTCTGCCTGATCCCCCCAGCTAGATCGACTCGCGAGGGTTTCACGCCCCCAGATCTAGGCGGAAGCGCCGCTACAGATGTACCTATACACTATACAAACCACACCAGTTTAATACATTATACGATGATGTGATACCATCGAACAAAATCCCATCAGCCCTATGGCCTAAGGTGGTCTAGCGATACATTCCTTTCCTCGTCCAAAACCGTATGTCCTTCGTGGAGGGGAGCGGCGCGATCGGTCAGAGCGCCCAGGATGGCTCAAAATGGCTCCAAGAGGAGCTCCGACGCTCCAAAAAGGCCTCCAAAATGGCTCAAGAGATCCGAAGATGGCTCAAGACAGCTTCTAATATACGTCCAAGAGGCCCGACGAGGGCCACAAGACGGTCCCAATTGGCCAAAATCCTTCGACCCCAAGGAAAATCAATGTGTGTTGCCTTCTCGCCTTTTCGCTTCCGATGCGCTTTGGGGGCCTCAAGAAGGCCGCAAGATGGCCGAAGAGAAGCCCAAGAGGGGCCTAAGAGGCCCCCCGAACGGCCCAAAGAGCGGCCTAAGAGCGCCCGAGCAGAGCCCAGGGCGACTTTGATAGCCCCAGAGGGGGGAGGCAAACATCGAGGACCCCCCCCTTTTGATCGATAACCTACAAGATGGCCGCACGAGGCCCTCCAGGGCTTCCAAAAGGGCCCCAAGACGGTCCCAAGAGCACCCAAGAGCGCCCCAAGAGCGCCCCACGAGGGCCCTAAGAGGCTGTTTGCCTCCTCTTCCCCGGGTGTTCCTCCCCATCCCCCTCGAAAGCCACCCCCTTGCTCCCCGAGAGCTCTCTGTTCCTCCTGGTGTTCACTGTATGTGTTTCCTCGTTTCTCTTCCCGTCATCTCTCTGGCGTGATGAATTGTGTACAATAACTCAGATTGCAATAAATATCCCCGGATACGCTACATCCGACTGTAATGATGCAGGTTGTAATGGGGGTACAAGACATTATAACATATGACATATCACATAAATATATATATATATATATATATATATATATATGTATATACACACACATATCTATGTATATATGCATATAAATATATATATATATATATGTGTATATATATGTAAATGTATATATATATATATATATATGCTAGGGGCCGCTCCTGTGATCCACATTTTTCTTGTCGTTTCATAGGTTGCCCTTTCTCGTTTGCCAAGTTCACGAGGAATCCGCAGGTCTTACAAAAATCACGGACACCTTCGTGCAAAGGCTGAATTGCATACCTGGCCTCTACGCGAAGGAGAGCAAGAAAGGGAAGGCCACTCGTATTCAGAACTTCCGATGCGCGGTCGAGGACTTCCCATACTTGTTTAAGCCTTTAGCAGATAAGGGCTTCGCGCGCTTGAACATCGATATCCAGAAGTTCAACGACACCATGGACAAGTACGGCCACTCCTGCTTTGGCTGCTGGCCTGACTGGGGATTCGTCTGGGATGCCCGAAGCAACGTGCAGCGTCTTTTCTACGACGGCGCCGAGCCGGAGAACGAAGAGGCTTCCCTTGAGAGAGGCGAGAGCGTCGACGTTCAGATCGTAAACATGCTGGAGGTTGTAGATTTAGCTGGCTTGCGTAGATATGCAGCCCACCAGGTGGACCGCAGGCAGGAATGCGTCGATGCGTACATTGATCGGCTCGAACGAGAAGGTCAGAAGCAGGGTAACTACGCGACGTTGCTTGTTCAGTACTATCGTAAACATGGACCCCCTGGTCGCCTGTACGCCATTGGGCCGTCCTTGCAGAAGCAGACCAAGGAGGCTGGCGCGGCTGCAATGGATGGCTTTACATACGCACTGGATGCATGTAATTGTTTCCCGTCGCTCCTCGTGGAAATTCTGGAGCGCGACCCCCGAGGCGCGAAGGTCGCGGGGAACGCGCGCGGCGGGCGCGGAGTGTCGATGCGC